CTATGTCGGATTCGGAGTAGAATGTGTGACCCATGTAGTCGATCGGATGCAGAGTTGTTGCACTCGGGTATTTCGGAGGGATTTCATGCGGATTTTCCAAACTACATTTGGTTCTGAATCCATGTTTTCAAGGAGGGTATTCCAACTTCTGGATCTATGGTTAATAATTTTTTGTTTAATCTTTCTTGAAAGATAAGTGTGTTTTATCTCTTGAAAGATAAGTGTGTTTTACCTCTTGGGTTTCTTGTCATTTGCCAAATTTTTCTTCTGTTATTTCGCTGCTTTATTAGATTTAAAATATGCTCGGGAAGGTTTTTGCTATCTTTTCTCTTACTGGTGAAGGTAACGTTTTTAATGGCGTCTTGAATCTTGGTATTAAGATTATGAACTGCGTTTTCTAATTCAGCGCAATTATTTATTGAGATTCTGCAGGGAATGCTAGTCATATGATTTTTGAAAATTTCCCAATTAACTTTTTGTTGGGTTTCTTGCAGTGGTGGAGAGAATCCATAAATGTCTAATAATAACGGGTCTATGACTAGAAGCTAAATCATCTTTGACTTCCAGATTAGGTGTTGCTGAAATGTTTTTCATGATAGTGATATCAAGAACTTCTCCGCTGCCGTTGTGGTTAAGGCTTCTCTAAACCAGGCTGAATCACCAACCTTTCTCTCTTGGCGAATAAGGGAACGCGCTGTCAATTTTGGCGCGTTTATCGCACACACTGGCTGAATGTCTGCTGTTTTTTTTTAAGATTGATTTTATAGACACGCGGCATTCAGCGCAAATAAACTTTTCGGATAATTTATTAATTCTCGAATACTATATAGACGTTTTCACTTAAATAAAAATTCCGCGTATATTTTGTAAAACATATTCAAAATAACTGATGCTTTAGATGTTTCAGTTTAGTTAGCAGACTAAAATAAATAAGATATGAATAAAAACTTTGAATAGTGTCAAATGGGGAAATAGTTAAAGCGTAAAGTGTGCAAATAAATTTATCTTAATGACATTTTAACAAAAATTTCCTTAAAAACACTGTAAATTCATACTCAAAAAATAACTATGTCATTTAAGTCTGAGGTATATGGAAATAATTGTGCAAGACTCTGAAGAAACACTTTCTTTTAAATGTGTGAAATATTTCATACATATATGGAAGAAGTATATGTAAAGAAGTATAACATATATGGAGGAGCTTTAGTTGTGGTGATATCTCGTAGGAATATCTGGAGCAAGTATTCTAATATTGTTCCTTTGGGCGTAATCGTTAAGAATTTGGCCATTTCTGTTAATGTTTCTGCTATTCCAAATGTAGTGTTTCGCATTTAAGTCTCCCGCTACTAAGGTGGGAAAATTAAAGTTTGTAATTTTATCTAAGTCCTGTGCTCTGAGTGCATTATTTGGAGGGTTGTAAGCAGCAATGATGAGGTAAGGCTCGTTGAATCCGGTGTAAATTACTGCGGCCGTTTTTTCTAAATTTCCAGTGTTAGGAATTTTGAATCTGGTGTGCTTGAAATGATTTTTAATGATTAAGGCAATGCCTCCACCTCTATTATGACTTCGGTCGTCGCGAAGAATGCTGTATCCGGGAATATTCGTTTTATTGCTTGGTTTTAAATGCGTCTCGTTGATAATCATAACATCAACATTATATTTTATCAAGTAATGAATTATTTCTTGCAGTTGACTGTAAACGCCGTTTGCGTTAAAATATGAAATTCTTAAAAAGCTTGTACTAGCTGAAATCAAGTTCGGGTTATGTGTTGAGGGCCTAAAATTCATAATTCAGGCTTGAAAAGTAATCAAACGCGGCAATGCCGACTTCTAAGTTTCGAATATAGACTTGGCAGTCTTGAATTTAGTAAAGAATTTCTTAACTTGCATAATCTGGATTTTCACCCATTCAAAGAAAAATGTTCTTTTTGATTGGTTGTTTCTGGCGTTCTTGTTATTGTTTTTGGGAGGTAGACGGATTTCGTGTGCATTACGGCTGGTAATTTGGGGGGAAATCTTCAGGATTAGTTTAAATTGATCTTTGTCAGCTTTTTCATGCGCTTCTTTTGCAGTTTTTTCTTCCTCAATACGTTTTTGGATATTAATTGGGTATTTTTTACAACACGGTAGGAAGAAACGTGATTTTCTCCACAAAGAACACAGATGGGAAAATGGACGCCTTTTTGCGTTTTGCATAAGTGCGTCTCGTGGTTTTCTGCGCATTTTAGGCACCTAGGAGTGTAGTTGCACATGCCCCGTGTATATCCGTACCTCTGGCTCCTAAACTGCTTTTTGCAGAGGGTTATATACATTCGAAAACTGTTCAACTCTGAAGACGATCTACAACACAGGCGTGAAAAAATTCGCCAAATTTCCTACTTGGGGAAAGATGCAAAGACGTTACCGAAACCTTTAGGTTTGCAAAGTATTTGAATATAATCTATGTATGTGCACATTTTGTGCTGTAGAAATAACATTTTGATGAATGAAACGTGTCATGGTGAATCTGTAAATGTTACTTCGTTTCCTAAGATACAAATATTAACCATTCTAATGCAGAAAAAATAAATATTACACCAAAATGAAAATTGACTATCCGCCGAAATGGAGTTGTGGCGCCCTCTATTTTTCAATATTGATACTAATCGAAAAAACGCTAGAAAAAGAAAAGTGATATTCGGCAAATATTTATTTATAACATGATAAAGTATGCTATTTTTTTAAATTCAATAGAATTTCGAGGGTGCATTCTATGTAGCAGCAGATTTTTTCAGTACGGCACTGCATTTTATGTGTGATAATAAAGGGCTAAATTTGCTTTTGTTGAACGAATAGGCAGACATTTGTCAACAAACCGCCTTAAGGGCGTCGGATACCTATTCTTTTAGCCTAAATTATGAGTAAGTATAACTAAAAAGGATATTTTATTCCATAATGCGCTGTTTCTATTGAAACGCTTTTCGGGATCTTGGATCATAATCTTGCTACTGGTACCTACTACAAAGAGTACAAACCAGTAGATAAAAATAAGAAAAATTAGCATTAACAAAAATAGAGAAAATGAAAGTGTTAAATTTTTAACACCTCACCCGAAGGCAAAAAAAAAAAAAAAAAAAAAAAAAAAAAAGACCAATAATGAAAAAGTCATTCAATAGAGTGAGGATAAAAACAAATCCGTCCAGGGCAGAGTTCGTAAAAATTCATGAGCGGGGATAGAACCGGCGATCTAGAAGTCCGAGAAATTTTTTCATCAGAGTCGTAGCTAGGGTTTTCAGCGCCCAGGGACGCGTAATGGCAGACCGCACATTGAGTTGAAGAGTGTTAAACGAATGTCGCATACTGCGCATGCCCAGAAACAAATTTGTCGTAATTATTATGTTGGCGCGATTTGGAAAGAAGATAAATACGGTATGTGGTAGATGTACCGCCATCTGATTGTGAACACATCCGGCGTTTAAGTCTTCGTAGAGTATACGTGCAATGTAAAGTAATTACTGTGTAAAATTAGATTTTTTTCCTGTATTGCTCCAACAACTGGAAAGTTGAAATTATTGCGAAGTAATGTGAAGCAGTGTTTACATTCAAAATGTAAAATATAATACTTATGAAATTCTGCACATTCCTTTGGAACTGTACAAATTTTCGTTCAGAAAAAGACTGAAATTTAGGATATATTAGTTGAAAATTTTATTCATTATGCTTTTAAGCAATAAAACAATTCAGGATTTACCATACGTTCCATTCGTATATACATAAAGAAACACTGAGGAATATAACAGTGCTTGCAAATAACACTGAAAATTTTACAATTCTTTAATGCTAGTTTTTAAATTCTTTGAAATGAGAAAATAAAAGCACGAATATACGCTAACAAACTAAGCGAGATACTCCAGTTTACAATTACTGAATTATAGCATTGTAAACAAATTACATTTAAATAACGAATTATTACGAACATATGTTAACAAATATTAATTGCACTGTTATTGACAAATTAAAATGAAACATATATTAGAAAAATAAGCAAGCGCAATCGGCATGGACATTAAAATAACTAATAAGCAAAGTTCCACAACACTGCAGTTTTAAACATCACTCGAACACACTCGACAGCCATGGAAATCACGAATAATCTAACGTAGGGTTGCTTAGTCGCCAATATTTCTCCCCGCGCCAAAGGTACACCATCAAGCATGCGCAGTAAGCGAAATTCGCTTAACACTGTTCAACTCAATGTGCGGTCTGCCATTACGCCCCCAGGGACAACTGAAGATTTCGCGCTCCCTACTGCTTGCCAAGGATGGAAAACATTTAATTCTAAAATGTCGTAACATCAGTTTGGTGCCCCTTGGATTCTGCGCCCGGGCACAGATGCCCCCTCTAGCTACGCCCCTGTTTTTCATCCTAGTTACCGTTGAGCAGCGATTTCGCCGTTGGCTTTCGCCCACTTTTCAGTACACCAAGCTGATATACAAATAGTATAGGCGATGAAACAAAAGTCGCTAAGTACAAGATTCTATAACGCTACGTGGCTACGTTTCCTGTTTTAACCAATCGGAACAAACAGTAGCAGATACGGTCTGTAGGCTTTGTGAATATGCAGAACATTTACATTGTTCTGTGTTCAAACAATGCAAACTTTCTGTTCTTCTTTGAGCTACGGATATGTGAAATCGCGGGCACGAAATCAGGGGATGCGGAAAACAACTTCATTTTGAAAAGAGCTTATGTGAATGGAAAAGAATGAAAAAATTTCATTCAGTTTAAAATTATTCTGAGCATATGATTTCTATTTATTTTTATTCCGTTAACAAATGAATATTGTTTCAAAAAGTAATACATTGCATTGTTATTATTTATAAATAATTCATATAAAGAAAATGTCTGCGACTATTTCCAAACTAAGATAAATTTAAATCGTTCAATAGGAACCGATGGAATGTTTTGAGTTTCAGAGAAGGTGCGTATCAAGCCTCAGTCTAGCGCGCAGTAGTGGACAGTTTGGAGTCTCTTCTCTTTCATCTTCTTCTACGAAAATGACAAGTAGCTGATTCTTTTTTGAAGAAGCCGATGATTGACGCCATATTTTGATGCGATCGATGATAATAGATTTCCATGACGCTAAAATTATTTCTGTAAAAGAGTTTGTGCAGAAGAGGTAATTATTATTTTACGTAATCATGATAGGTTAACATTTTGCATAGTCGAAATTCTTTTAATCAGCAAGGGAGAATTATTATCGTGTGTATGATTGTAGTTGGGTTGGGCTCGCTCCTTTTAAAATCAGAGTAAAGTATTATTTTGTTTTTGTTTTGGAGGATGCGAATTTCATGTTTTCTTAAAAGAAAAATACTAGTGTTTGTGCAATTTGATATGATTGAAATTTTCTGTTGATTCATAGTAATGAGTTAGTTTTTCATTTAAATGTGTTAAAGGTTGTATTCTATGTACTACGCTTGTTATGCTTTTGAATAAAGTATCTGCAAAAGAATTAAATACTTAAAATGAAATTGTTTATAATGTAAATCATTCTTTTAATATCATTAAGTGCTTTTGTAACTCCGCAGTCATAATTCGCAAAAATTCCTTGCCTTATATGCTAGTAGATCAGGAATAATTATGATAAGCTGTAATAGCATTGTAGTCTAATATATTAGAAAGTAAATTAGTTTTAAGTATGGATGATTAATGTAAAAAAGTCTTAGATATTTCGATTTAATCCGAGAAGAGTATTTTTATTGTCTCAGCTGTTGAGAAATTAATTAAAAATGGTATTGGTAGGCAAAGTGACAGTGCTGAAAATAAACGTAAGTGCAATTTTAAATATAATACAAAATTTTGGAAAATCATGGGAACTATTTATAAAATAATGGAAAACATGTTGAAAGTTTTGGTACTTTGTGATTGTCTGCATCTCCACCAGAAAGTTGTGAATTATTATTTTATGTAATAACCCAGGTGGGAGTGTAAAAATCCAAAAGACTCACTTCTTTGTGCATTTTTTTTACCAATATGAGTAGATTCTATTACATTTTATGAAATAAATGAAAACTTGCATTATTTAGATGTTATAGGTAAGTGTAAATGATGACGACGAGATCAGTTATATATTACTAGTACTTGTTCTATATTTCAGTTATTGTTATCATGTATTAAATACAGTTACATATGTGACATCTCCCTTTTTTACAGAAATAAAAGGATTATACATAATCTTTTAAATAATTTTTTTTTTAACTTACCTACCGGATTGAGTAACGTAGTTATGTCCATTTAAAAAATTTGGCTGATCTTTGGAATATGGTAACAGGTAGTTTGGCGACATTTTGGAGGCGATAAAGGCTACTACCTAGGGCTTTGGTAATAATGTGAGAAGTACTGAGTTCCTACGCATTATTTTGTATGAGGGAAATGAGAGATCACGAGATATGTCATGTGACATTAATGGACAAATTACAGTTCTTTAATCGGAAAAGGGGGTAAAATTTGGAAAAATATCTGTAGTACTATATTATTTTGTATTAAGCTTCATTGTGTGTTGTGTGAAATAGTGTTGTTTAATATTTCCGATCCCATGGCCGCTATCGTAAAGTAAATTCTGAAATTTTTACTGCATTTATGTGATAATTCCAAAGAATTGGTTGAATTTCTATGAGTGTAGGATTAATTGTGGATAAGTATGAATGTCCAAAATGTGGGAATGAAATGAGATTGTGTGAAAGGAAGGATATTACAGATAAGTTTGAATGCTGGTACAAGAAATCTGGTGAAAATGGACATTTTGTGAAACGGTAAGTGTAAGGAAGGGTACGTGGTTTGCTGAAAGTCGTTTGAGTTATGGGTGAAATTTTATTAATTTCTTATTACTGGGTGCATAGACTGCCAGTTGACTACTGAATTATTCGGAATCTATAAGAAATTAGCAGTAGTACTGCAGCCGATTGGAACTCTTTCTGTAGGAAAGTGTGCGTGCCACGTAATGAAGATTCTGAAGAAGATTAGGTAAGTTAGTATTTTTAATCATTTGAGGATATTATTTTTATGCATTTTTCTAAATGTAAGGAGTAAATAAATTAATATGGTATTATTGGAAAATTGTTACTAGCAATGATGGCTGATCTTTAGAATATGGTAACTGGTAGTTTGGCGACATTTTGGAGGCGATAAAGATTACTTCCTGGGACTTTGGTAATAATGTGAGCAGTACTCAGTTCCGATTACACATTATTTTGTGTGAGGGAAATGAGAGATCATGGGATATGTCATGCGATATTAATGGACGAATTACGGTTCTTTAATCGGAAAAAGGGGGAAATCGGGGAAAAATCTGGAAATTTTGTATTTGGCTTTATTCTGTGTTGTGTGAAACAGTGTTCGTTAATTTTTGGATCCCATGGCCCTAACTAAAGTGAATTCAAAATGGGTATTTAGTGGGATTGAAAGGGGTAGTAATAAGTATTTCTTTAAGGTTGTGCGAGATAGAAGTAAAGATGTTTTATTAAGTTGTTTATTTTACCTGGTACCTTGCTGTGAACTATAAGTATCATTTTAAAGATCCTGAAACAGAAATAAGAAAAGTTTATCGGACACATAATCTTATAATCAAGATTCTGAAGAAGATTAGGTAAGTTAATATTTTTAATTATTTGAGGATATTATTTTTAGCATTGTTCTAAATGTAAGGTGGAAGAAAGTAATTTGGTATATATTGGGAAAATTGTTATTAGCAATGATTTAGTTTAAAGTAGTATTAGGATTGTAAGCTAATTTTTATTAATTTAATGTATGTGCTTATTTATATTTTAAGTAGTGTTTTTGAATTTAATTATATTTTAATTAAATGATTTATTTTGTGAATTTTATGTTGTAGGAATTTGGTATACGTTTTAGTTGAAGTAAACGTGCATGGAAATAATTTAAATATGTGACACTAAGTTTGTAATGCTTGTGTATGAATTCGTTGGTGATGTTTATAATACAATAGATGGTTTAGAGGTAAAAGTTTTTGGATATTTATTTTTTTATACGGGAAATGTTCATATTTGGAAAGGGTATATACTTTTTCGTTATTAGGTAATTTCATATATGTTCTTTTTAAGGGTTTAAAGATTCAGAAAATTGTCATGCATTTTCGTGAAATTTTTGTAATTTATGAGAAAAAAGCAGTGTACGTGGATATGGTGAAGAGTGTGCGCAATGCCATTTTTGTGCAATTCTGGGATTTTTTTTTAAAGTAAAAATAAGTCGACGTGTACATGGTTTAGTGATATTTTAATTAAATGATAGTTATTTTGTGAATTTTATGTTTGTAGGAATTTGGTATACGTTTAAGTTGAAGTAAACGTGCATGGAAATAATTTAAAGTGTACGTGGATATACTGAAGTGTACGTGGATATACTGAAGAGTGTGTGCAATGCCATTTTTGTGTAATTCTGGGATATTTTTTTAAGTAAAAATAAGTCGAGGTGTACATGGTTTATGTGTTTGTGTTATTTTGAAAAACGTGTAAGGAGTATGGTATTGTGCACTTTTTCCCAATTTTGCAGTGAATATTTGTCATGATTAAGCAGTTTTGTTAGATAAAATTTCTAGTATAAGTGTAATTCAGCTAGTAGATTGTTGGAAGAAGTGTTCAGTAGATAAAAAGAAAAGAACATGTCTTTACTTCGTGAAGACAAAATGGCGGCGGGGAAAAAAAATGGAGGGTTGCAGTAGGAGAGTTGGTCGCCAAATTTTCGCCAAAAAATCGCCAAGTTACCATAATGTAAAGATCAACCGCAATGATTTAGTTTAAAGTAATTAGGATTGTAATCTAATTTTTATTAATTTAATGTATGTGCTTATTTATATTTAAGTAGTGTTTTTAATTTAATTATATTTTAATTTAATGATCGTGATTTTGTGAGTTATATGTTTGTAGTATTTTGGAATATGTTTGAGCAGTATACGTTGAGTATTTTCATGCATTTTCGTGAAATTTTTCTAATTTATGAGAAAAAAGCAGTGTTCATGGGTATAGTGAAGAGTGTGCGCAATGCCATTTTTGTGCAATTCTGGGATGTTTTTTTACGTAAAAATAAGTCGACGTGTACATGGTTTAGTTATATTTTAATTAAATGATAGTTATTTTGTGAATTTTATGTTTGTAGCAATTTGGTATATGTTTCAGTTGAAGTAAACGTGCATGGAAATAATTTAAATATTTGACACTAAGTATTTGTAACCATTTTTAATGTTTGCGGGATAAATTCATTGGTGACATTTATAATATAATAGATAATTTAGAGGTAAAAGTTTTTGGATATTTTATTTATTTTATATGTGGAAATGTCATCCTTGGAAAGGGTATATACTTTTTTGCGATCGGGCAATTTCATATATGTGCTTTTACCGAGTTTAAAGATTCACAAAATTTTCCTGCATTTTCGTGCAAATTTTTGTAATTTATGAAAAATAGCAGTTTAGATGGATAAAGTTAAGAGTGTGTGCAATGCCATTTTTGTGTAATTTTGGGATGTTTTTTTAAGTAAAAATTAGTTGACGTGTAAATGGTTTATGTGTATGTGCTATTCTGAAAAACGCGCAAGGAGTTTGCAATTGTGCACTTTTCCCAATTTTAATATTTGTCATGATTAAGCAGTTTTGTTACATAAAATTTCTAGCATAAGTGTAATTTGGCTAGTAGATTGTTGGTAAAAGTGTTGAGTAAATAAAAAGAAAATAGACATGTCTTTACTTCATGAAGACAAAATGGCGGCGAAAAAAAAAATAGAGGGTTGCTGTAGCAGAGTTGGCCGCCAAATTTTCGCCAAAATCGCCAAGTTACCATAATCCAAAGATCAACCAAAAATTTAGTGATACAACACCTCTTTCATAATTTGGGGGCCTAATGCTTTTGTTAAGTGCTGGAAAATTTACAGGTACGTCTTAAGTTGGAGTACTACTAATCTCAGGTTAATTTACGTCTTCATTTTTGCAATTTTAATTTTCATAATTGTTTTGAAATGTAAAACCTTTCCAAATAGCTGCTTTAAGAATGTCTCTTCTGTACCTTTCTATAGTTCTTCCATCTGTTCTTATAATCCCGTATGAACATGGTCTTTCTACATCTTTAAGCTTGATCTTCTATTTCTAGTGGTTTTAATACTGTCACATTCCTATCATATTATCTTTTTTGTAAAACTTCTCTTTTTAATAAATGTTATTTGTGCTTTTCATGTTGTTTAATTCGGATGAAATTCTCTTTTGTAGGCATTAATCCATTCACTTCTCTTCCAGACATCAATTCTGAAGGTGACTTAATTTCAACTGAAATAGGTGAATTACAATATTCCAGTAATACTAAATATGGATCCTTCTTATCAACTACAGCTTTTTCTGACATTTGCTTGACAATTTGAGTATGATTTTGAGTCATTCCATTTGACTGTGGATAATTTGGACTTGGAAGTTCTGGTTTCAGAATTCCATCTCTGTGCAAATTCTTTAAATTTCTTAATTTATTTATACAAATGCCAGGCATTAGTTTTGATCTTGCTTCCCAGTACTTAAGAACAACAGAATTAAAAGATAGTATGCAGTGCGTTCATCAGTATGCTCCTCATCCATGGACTGTTCAGTTACAAAGAGTACAGACTGAAGAGTCCTCAAGTTGAATTTTAAAAAAGATGGGCTTTCTAACAGTTAAATTTCTTTATTTTAGACTATTATCCAAATATGCTGTTTTTGGGATACCATGACATGCAAAAAATGATTTCAGTTGTTTTATCATTGCTACGCTTGATAAATCTTCCAAATGTCCAATTTCAACATATTTGTTAATATAGTCAATTAAATAACCTTTGCCTTGAAAGTAAGAGAGATCTGTTCCCAGTGGTTTCGATGGACCATTAGGTATTTCTTTAGATATTATTTGCTTTAAATTTCTTTAGCTATCATTTTTTCCTCGAACATGTTTTTATAAACTCAAACATGTCGAGCAGTTCAGAACCAAATCTTCAATTTCTTTTATACATTCCTGGCCAATATAATATTTCTGCTGCTTTGTTCTTGCATTTTTTTTAATCCTAAATAACCATAATGAATTCTGCTTAACATATCTTTTCATAAACTTTTAGGTACATCAACAATGGAATTTTTAAATATTAATCCATTTGCTTCTGGTAGTTCTTCTCTGAAGTTAAAATATAGTTTTGCCTGATATGAAACCTTACGTTTTTTTATATGGGCATCCAGTTTTAATTAATTTTCTTAAAACTTATAGATCTAGACATGGGCATGTTTTCTACAACCATTCCAACATGGCTTTTTATGTCTTCTTCAAATAAATCAGATCCGTCTCCTTCAAAGAAAATAGATTCTTTTATCAGTAAATGAACTTGTTAATGCATCCACTATAAGGTGTTCTTTTCCTTGTTTATATTTTATATCAAAGTGATATGACTGTAATCTTGTATGCATTCATTATTTAAACTACTTGTGATTTCTGGGATGCTACATAAAGAAATGGGAATAAAAAAATACAAAAAGTTATGCAAAATAAGCAAGTGAACTGAAATTTATTATAAAATTCATATTAATGTCATTGAAACATTTCTTGCTATTATAGAACTGTTTTGATATAAGTATCTAGTTGTGGCTTTTAGAAAATTGATTAACAATTTTGAATACCACATTTTCCCTCTTCTGCTAATTTCTGCTGCTTTGTTCTTGCATTTTTTTTAATCCTAAATAACCATAATGAATTCTGCTTAACATATCTTTTCATAAACTTTTAGGTACATCAACAATGGAATTTTTAAATATTAATCCATTTGCTTCTGGTAGTTCTTCTCTGAAGTTAAAATATAGTTTTGCCTGATATGAAACCTTACGTTTTTTTATATGGGCATCCAGTTTTAATTAATTTTCTTAAAACTTATAGATCTAGACATGGGCATGTTTTCTACACCCATTCCAACATGGCTTTTTATGTCTTCTTCAAGTAAATCAGATCCGTCTCCTTCAAAGAAAATAGATTCTTTTATCAGTAAATGAACTTGTTAATGCATCCACTATAAGGCGTTCTTTTCCTTGTTTATATTTTATATCAAAGTGATATGACTGTAATCTTGTATGCATTCTTTATTTAAACTACTTGTGATTTCTGGGATGCTACATAAAGAAATGGGAATAAAAAAATACAAAAAGTTATGAAATAAGCAAGTGAACTGAAATTTATTATAAAATTCATATTAATGTCATTGAAACATTTCTTGCTATTATAGAACTGTTTTGATATAAGTATCTAGTTGTGGCTTTTAGAAAATTGATTAACAATTTTGAATACCACATTTTCCCTCTTCTGCTAATTTTACTACTTGAGAAATGGGATGGGAAACGTGCGTAGTGTATAGTGTTTTTAAGGAGATGGCTTAAATGATAAATGCAGCACACTAATATTATTATATTATACATTTTAAAGGACTCGCCGATTTCAATAATATACATTTTACTTAAAAAATAATTGCCGAATTTTGCAAACATTTCATATTGTTAAGATAAATTGGAAGTTTCTAAATCATATGCTGTTAAAACTAGGGGGGAGAATATGTGAGTAAATATGGTAGTTCTCAATTCTAACATGTAGATTCTACTGATGTGAATTTCTGAATGTTGCAAAATTTAGCTATTCTTTGTTTGGCATTTTTTTTTTGTCCACAGTACCTTTCCTGACATGGCACTGTATTTCATTTATTAGCGCATGTAAGGAGCATACTGTGTAGTGTCTTAAATTCAGTATTTAATTATCTTTGACTGTTAATCTTTAGAATTGTTCTACATACCTTGGCTTATTAGCATACTTCATATTTTCTTAGATTGAAATATGTTGAACAAGATAGTGCGCAATAGTGACATGAAGTTCACTATTTCAAAATATACAGCGAACTGAAATCCTCTGGAAAGGCTTGTGGTAGGGTAAGAGCGATGGGCGATCCTCAGGCTGCCTCTCCGGGCATTCTCCCTTGGAATTCCATCTGAGCAGAAGCTTAGTAGTTAGCAAGGCCCAGCAATACATAATATGCCTGTTTTTATACACAGGTGCCAGTCTTGCTTCAACCTGTACTTGTGTATATGGAGATGCAATAGAATAAGATCTTGATCAATTTTTCTTACAGACAAAAACTAGTTTCACCCTTTTTCAGCAGTTAACTGGAAACAATATTTCACAGTTAACTGGAATTTAAAATTCAAGCAAAGCATCCTGTGGGACTTTTAATAGCAAGATAAATTATATTTATTTTGGGAAAAAACTTGTAAACTTTTTTTTAGTTACATTCTTTAAATTATATTTTTTTTAGAAAAATTCATAAACTGAAAATTTTTTTCAAAATATTCTATGACAGTGTTTCTGAAGCTTTTTCTAAGTGGGGACCTTTTTTATAAATTAAAAAATTCTGATGATCTTACTCTTGTTTCTTTTTGAAAGCTTTTAGCATATGTTACTCCCAGTGTATTTATATTTTTAGAACAAAGTTAATTAAAGGTCATTTAATTTTATATGGATGATAAGTAATTAATGGAAGAAAATTTATGTCTGTTTTTAAATAAGTCAACACTGTTAGAGTTTGTACAATCTTTATCTTAAAAATTAAATAAATGGTGGTGCTCACATGAATAAGATGGATGAGCATGCTGGTTCTTGCACATATGTCCTGTATTTGGATGTATAAGTGTAAACTTAAGTTTGAGATCAGGACATACATTAAATCAGTTTTAGTACTGTGTTTTGAGTAAGTAATGAAAACACATTCTCGCACATGCAAACTAAAATATAATTTTCAAAGCACAGTTGTACAGTTCACTATATTCCGTTTCACTGTAATGAGTGATCAGTGTCAGATTGTGTGCTAAAGAATGGCGAGAAGGACCAAATCTCTCATTTGTTGCTATGTCTATAATGAAAAGTCCATACATAGCATAACCAGTAATAAATTTCATTAAAATATCAGTTGTGGGGGATGATAATGAAAGACAACTCCCATGTTTAATTTCCAGATTTGGGGATTTTCAGCTATAGTTTCAGCTACAGCTGTATGCAGTTAATTTGAATTTTTTGGGGGTCCTTTTTTTTTTCTTGGAGTAGTTTTCACTCTTGTGGTTCAGGACCACTTGTGGTCCATGGACAACAGACTGAGAAAAAATGCTGTGTATGAGGTTATGAATTTAAAAAAATGTGTTAAGATTTTTATGTAGATTTGTTTTATCTGTGAATTTTTGATTACTCTGATGTTTGATGAATTTTCTTTTCAGCAGAAAGACTGGTGTATCTTTGTGACACGGGAAAGCATTTCACATTTGCAAATATGAGTTATCAGATGCAGTCACCAGCTCCACCAGTTTCAAGACCGAGTATGTATATATATATTAGTTTATAAACATAATACATTGATACAGTACAAAGCCCTTAATCTTTATGTCCATTATCCAGAATGATCTATAATCCGGACCTCAAAGCAACCAATTTTTGTTTTTGTTTTTTGTTTTGTTTTATGCTTTATGCATGCACGTTGGGAGATGTGTCTCCAGATACGTTAAAAAATGCTTGGCATAATTTATGGCCAGCTACCATATTTCATGGTGAGGACGATGAAGATGATAGCCACAAATTTCAAGGTTTTCAGACATCACAAACTAAAGGTGAAATTTTCCATTTATTGGATTTTGTAAAGAAATGTTTAGAAGCGGTAATAAATGAAGACGATATAACAGAAGTTTTTCATTGTGACGACATTGCCCCAATCGTCAATCAATTAACAGATGGCGAAATCTGTAGTATGGTTGTAGATCCAGAAAATACCGCTTCCGATAATGAAGAAAGTAACAGAGAGGTTATTGAAAACGAAAAAATTTCGATTGACAAGTTAGTCGGTATTTTCGACACAGCAATTACAGGACTTGAACAGTGGAACTTTGTAAATGAACAAGAAAATATGTCTGTTTATAGAATTAAAGAGAAAGTATTAGCACAAAAAAGGAAGTAACTTAAACAACTTGCATTGAAAGAAATGTTTAATAAAGTAAAAATAATTATTAAGTTTTTTTGTAAATTTTGATACCCTTTAACCCTTTAAATCATAATTGCTCTTTATTTCATAAATTACAATTTCATATTTTTAATTGTATAATTTCTGCACACCATCTTACCAGACTTAAATTGATGATCGATAATCCGGAAAAAAAACCCTAATCCGGAATCGATGAAGTCCCGATGCGTCCGGATTACGGACTTTGTACTGTATTATCTGAAGTTGTTTTCCTCTTTCTGTAGCAAAAAAAATTGCATATTGGCTGAAACAGATTTTTAGTGTGTATGTGTTAAATATGATGAGATGTGTGGAAATTGTTGTATATTCACATCACTCCGAAGCTCCGATATATGGTGATATGGTCTTTCAGTTTGATTATAACTTGCTATTATGATAGATTTTTTTAAAAGTTGTACTGGTTATGCTTAAGTTAAACAGTGTGTTATCTTCATTTTAGTTAACATCAGATATATTTACTTAGACCAGCAAGTTATGTAAATTAAGAGCATGCAGAAGAGATTTAAAAAAATAGCTGCAACTCGTGCTTGTTGGAGTGAATACGTATGTGCTGCCTTAGAAACGTTTAATGCAAATTTATTTATTGGTTGTAAGTTACAGTATTACTGTTGTTTGAATCTAGTTCATAACCTTAAGCAGGGTTCATACGGTTTTTAAGAGTCCTTAAAAGTTCTTAAAAATCCTTAATTTCAACCAGATTTGGCAGGTGGTCCTTAATTTTAATCATCTCAAATTTCTGTCTGTTTTTACGACTGCCAATTTGATTGTAAATAAGCATTTTGGACAAATATTGTTGGCAGTTCAGTGATAAATATAGTTATCTTTTGAATGGGTAAATAGGTTCATGGATTATAATTTGTTCTGGTTAATACTGTCAAAAGTCTTTAATACGGACTCGTCGGGACTTCAGCGATTCCGGATTATAGATCATCAATTTAAATCTGGTAAGATGGCATGCAGAAATTATAAAATTAAAAATATGAAACCGAAATTTATGATCTAAAGAGCTTCAAAATTTACAAAAAAAAAAAAAAAAAAAAAAAAAAAGCTTAATATTTATTTCTTTACTTTATTAAACATTCTTTTCAACGTGCGCATGCATAAAGCATACATTACGCATAGTTGAAATTAGAAAATTGCAACCAGAAATCTATTTGATATGTATTCGTGATATTTATAATGACGAGGAATTTGGTTTAAAGCATATCAAAGGAGTGCATCGAGATGAAATATAACATTTAGTAAGGAATTATAAGCCAAATAAAATAAAAACATTTGCCCTAAAGATGAGGAAGTGCTGACAGATCAACTTCCAGTTCATTGCGCGGCCCGACGTCCCCCCCCCCCCGCAGAGCAGCATGAAACTGATAAACAGATTTCGGAATGGTTAGAGAAACAAAAGATATGCCTTTATCTATTTTTTGCAGCAATTCCACTTTTTGTTTGATGGACATCGAACGTTTTGTAGATCCTTTGGCAGCTCCAGAATCGGAAATTCTTTTTGACATAATCGAAAGTTCAAGCTTACTTTTATAAAATTGCTCTATCAGTCTGCAAAAAATAATAAGCCGGATCCAATTCGAAGATTAAGGGACAACGCAATCCGCAACATTAACTGAAATAGATAATTAGATAATTTTAGCTTAGCTTATACCGTCCATTATGCATTAAATGCGCTTGCGTAAATGTATTATGTGCATGCGTGAATGCATTATGCGTTGACGCATGCGTAGAAAGTTTATACCTTTGAGGTCCAGATTATAGATCATTCCGGATTATGGACGTCCGGATTAAAGACTTTTGACTGTATTGTTGCGTTTTTCTCTTCTTCTGACACCAATTGTTACGTTATTTTCTTCCTTCACGTTGGTATGGGGTTGGCAGATTTTTAGTGAATAACTATGACACTTGATGAAGTATTGAAACACACTTTATTAGTCAGTATTGTCAGGACAGCTCGAAAACACGTTTTACAATCGTCGATGAACTACATTAAACACGCTGGAACAATCAGCGACACAGCCTTCAGGTTATCAGACTATCACGTGGAGACAGCTTCCTGTAAAGCACCAGAGTACAGCTCCTGACTCTGCTTGGTCGTTCTCGGAACTCCACGTACTCTCGAGACTCTCCATGCTACAACTCATGATGCACTCGATGACACACAAGCACAGCTCTTGACTCCTTGGTTCAGTCGTTCCCGGAGCTCAACACGCTCTCTCGATGATGCACTAACCGCGATACAATAAGAAACTCTTTCGGTGAACTCGACAACACTCGGCACTCGCTAGACGAGACACCAACTCGATACTGACTCTTTCGCACTCTATGCGAGGCACTTACACACTGGCTGACTGCAGACTAGCAGAGTTTATATAGCTTTCGGCTTGTGTTCGAGAACATTCTGGCCTAAACCGGTAAGAATTCGTTCCAGAAGGTTCTCCAACTGTCCATGGTATGTCGCCAAATGGGCGATGTCTCACCAAATGTGACAACCCTGCTTTCTCTTGCCATTTAATGGCAATCCTAAAACTGCTTTGCGGGGAAGTCATCTCACCGCGCCTTTACATTTCGTAACACTGCCCCCTCCCAAGGACTGCACATCCCAGGCAGTACAACCCTTGGTCAGAAGCCTAATTCGATACAAACAAAACGTAATAAAACAAGCAAATAACATAACTAAAGAAACAAACATTTACACTATGTACAAATCATATACACAAATTAAACACATGACAATTTCAAATAATACAAATTAAAGTTCTGAACGAATTTCAATCTCTGTCTTTTCATTAAAATATACCCGGGTCAAATACTTTTCCAGTGTAGTTCTCAGATGTATTTCTGTTTTGCATATCCTAGTCTGTAGTCTGGAGATTCAGTTCCTTCAGGCTTTTCATTCACAAGAAAATCTAAAACAATTCTGTAGATCATTCACAGTATGCGTACAGTTCACCTCAGTATCATTAGCAGATGGTACATGCCTATTTACCTCTATTTCCTGAAAACCAGTTCTGATGTTTGCACCAGGGTCATGAATAGAATCTGATCCTTTACAAGCAGAAGTATCCGGGTTTGGAATCAAGTCCTTGTCTGCAAAACCTGCACTAAGAGGCACACACATAGTTTACAAAGTGGGTGAATTTTCTTTCAATACTGGAGCACACTGCTTAAGCTGCACATTAACTTCTGTCATCTCTGCATCACATGCATTTTCAGATGGTTCAATACTCACGAACTTCAACTTCATAACTTTACTATCAGTTTTGATGAACTTGACAATCGCATTTTCACTTCTTCCACTTCAGGCACTTGAGAATCAAAATCTACTTTCCCATCTTTTATTTCGTCATGTTTTCGTTCTTTATCTTTAATCCTGTTAATTGTTTCATCTCTCATTTCTTGATCTTCTTCAGACAGTTCATTAGCTACTTTCTTCATTTCTTCATCTTTTGATTCTTCAGAAGCCACTTCTCTTATTTCCACATTGTCTTTTATGGCTCTAGTTTCTTCTGTAAGCTCCCCTTTCACCTGTCTGAGTTGCTTTCGCACCTTTTCTTGGCCAACATTAAATTCTTCTCGTCGGGTGTTCTTCTCTTCCAGTGTAGCTTTCATCACCTTCAGTCCAGCTTTCAACTCAGCCTTGATCTTTTGATATCCGGCTTTTATCTCAGCCCTTATCTCGGCTAAGAAGTTCATCAAAATCTTCTTTTCCTCCGCCATGTTTTTTTTTTTCTTCTTCAGGAGGGTCACTGGCATTCACTCGCAAATCCTACTTCTGACACCAGTTGTTGCGTTTTCTCTTCTTCTGGACTGATTGCGGACCAGCAGGGTTTATATAGCTTTCAGCTTGTGTTCAAGAACATTCTGGGCTAAACTGGTAAGAATTCGTTCCAGAAGGTTCTCCAACCGTCCATGGTATATCGCCAAATGGGCGATTTCTCACCAAATGTGGCAACCCTGCCTTTCCTTGCCATTTTATAGCAACCATAAAACTGCTTTGCGGGGAAGCCATCTCACCACGCCTTTACATTTCGTAACAGTATTAATAGACAAGATATTTTCAGCTGAATATAGTTGACAAAACAGTAATAGGAACAATTAATTACCTGTGGGATGTGTGTACTCAAGCATGCTAAACAGAGCTTTTAGTTTAACCAAAGGTGGTCGAATGCTGATATTTTAATAAATAAAGAGGCATCAATTTCTTCAGAATTCTTGAATAATTGACACAGCTTGGCAGTATTCCACCAACTTTCAGGGTTTGATGGTCGCCAACTTTCAGAATAATATGTAAGCATCCTT